CTGTTATTCTGTATGGAGGTGGATCTGTTCCAATTTGAATTATTTTGCAGTCGCACATTGGGGTTTCTTCTGACTTTTAACCCCACCCATTGAAAACACCTGTAAGCTCTTGTCCGCATTCCAGTCGAGGCCAGGATGCACGTCCCAAATGCACATAATATCACCACTTAGCTGTCAAGACTGTTGAGACTGGCCAACAGGAACTATGACACTTATTTCACATGGAGAGAAAATTTCTGTTTCAAGAACAAACACTTAGGTTTTGAGAGAGAGAAGAAAAAACATTTTTAAAATGTAACTCCACCAAATGTATTTTATATTTAAAATTATTTTAGATATAAAATACTTTTTATTTTATTATTTTTTTCTTGAATTTAATAAAAATATAAAAATAAATCCATATGCTACCACCATATTTTATGACTTAGACCCAGAATATTACTATACTACTTACTATACCTTTACTATCTATCTATATATCTATCTATNATATATATATATATATATATATATATATATATATATATATATATATATATATATATATATATATATATATATATATACATTACAATATATGTATATTACTATATGTATACAAGCCTGTATACACAGACTGTATACAAAACAAAATTTAGATGCATAAAACTTTTTAACAGGGAAAGAGCAGCTTAGCAGTGAACAGTGTAGGAGAGAAGGAAAACCCATTTAAAGCCATGGTGCAAAAGTCATTCATAAGGAAGGTTCAGAGCATTGCAAAATAAATAAATAAATATGGTGAAAAAATACGGTACAACACCGAGCTTATTTCTGTTTAAATGGATTTGAAAAGTCGCCATGTATTGTTGGGGGGATTGTATGTTCAAGTGACGTGCAATGTTGCTTTTCGAGGACAAATAACATATTGAGTGCATGTCAATTAGTTATACTTTGTTCTCATCTAAATACAGCAATTGTTTTACAAATTCTAATGGCTTTCCTTGAACAATGGCCTTTACTCTCAATTCAGAGAACATTTTTATTGAGTCCACAGCATCCTGTCAAATATTTTCCCACCAGATTTGTGGATCTTCAGAGCTGCTGGGGGTATCATGTGCTTCTTGGCAGCTTCTCTGATTGTTGTTCTTTGTTATTAGGATTTTAATTTAGTTGCATATGTCTAAGTTTTTTGCTTTGATGCTGTTCAGTCAATCATCATTAAAGATATTCAAAGTTCAGAATGTTATTTTGTTATATAACCATGTTTAACCTTATCCTAAACGTGTCTGCTGTGTTCCTTGGACTTAATGTGGCTTTTTGTTTACTGATGTTCTCTAACAACCCTCTGAGGCCTCCACAGAAAAGCTGACTTCTATGGAAATTAAATTACTTATAGGTGCCCCCTTTTTTCCAGATGAGGTGACTTCTTCTGAAGGGGTTTGGTATTACTTGAGTACTTGTATATATTTGGCAGTTCCAAGGAAAAAAAGCTGAACAATCCCATACCCCCAAACCAACACATTTTCCAGAACCTTTTTTTAGTTAAAAAACCATGTCTCATTTTCATTCGATTTTAAGATTATTTAATACTTTGTATAATGTTAACATGAAAAAAGGGAAAAACAGCTTTTCTTCATCTCTTTTTTTTTTCCCCGGATAGAATCTCGCCATGTTCCTCAGCATGCTGGTAGCTTGGATGATCCCAGATGTACCACGATCATTGCGGGAACAGCTGAAAAAAGAAAACATGGCGTTGATGGAGTTCTTGTTAGAACAAGACCAAGAAGCATGTGCCAAAACACTCTCCCCAAAACGCTCAATCCCCTGCTTTCCTGCCAACATAGACATTGTAGTGGAGGAGGCACCAGAAGAGGAGGTTGTGTGCCAAGTGGGTGAGAAAAAGGAGGAAGTCTGTGTTGAAATCAGTCTGGATGAACCAGGAAGGTTTGATACTGACATGGAGGTTTATAAATCATTGGAAGAAGCTGAAAATAAAGAATACGAGCCAGGAGGGGAAGAGTGTGAGGAGGACTTTAAGATGGAAAGCAAAGATGAGAAAGAAAATGGAGAAGCAAGGACAGAGGGTACAGGAGAAAAAGATCAAACAACAGAGAGCAATGAAGGGGAAGTTTATGAAGCAAAGGCAAGCGAGGAGGAGAACTTCACCGTAGATCTGGACTCTTTCATGAGTGACCTCGGTCTTTTAGGTAAGATGAGTCAACTCTCCCTTTTCTTTGATCATTTACTTGACAGTTTATACTATGTCAAATCCATTTATTTTGTTCTATTCATATAGATGAAGAGCCTGTATCAAGCACAGCTGTGGAAAAGGAGCTTCCCCGCTCAGAATCCAAACAAGGTCCACAGGAGCCTGCATCCCGACCCTTATCCCAAAGAGGCTCGTCCCAGAGTCTGAAAGGCTCCAGGCGAGACATTACAACATCAAATGTTGAAACTAGGATGTTGACTCTAATAGCTCCTCCTCCCAGAGAGCCAGACTCGAGAGTAAAATCTCGTTGCTCCACCCTTCCTTCCCGTTACAGAGCAGCTGAGGCTTGCTACAGCCTGCCCCGGCCTAGCCAATCCACCAGCCTGACAAAGCTCCAGCAGCAGCCCTCGCTTACTCCCCTGGTTCCTTTGGGCTGCATATCCCCCAAACAATCCTCTCCCTCACACAGTCCAGTGTCCCTTTCATCTCCACAGTCAGCATTTACTCAACAGCCCCAAGCCTCAAGTGAACTTTTTGTACTAAAAGGCCCTCCAACTCAGCTGCCACGTTCCAGGGGTAAGAGCCGCTGCTCCACCCTGCCTCCTCGTCAGAGAGTGGCCTGTCCCGAAGAGGCAGCCTCAAGACCAAGTCATTCTTCCAGCTGTGCGAAGCTTGGTGATTGCATTCCTCCTTCACCCAGTAAACTAAAGCACAATAACACTCCATTATAAGGAGAGAGCAGAGCATCAAATGGAGGCTATAGTCTGCAGAAGGAGGGGGAGGACTAACAAGATTAGCCTCTCCTGTTTGTGCCTGAGGCTTCAAACCTCCTGCTGTCCTTCTCACTTGCTTACCCCAGGGCTCAAAAGAGCCCATCCAATGGATATCCTTTTTACCTGTGTAATATTCATGCATGTAACACTATTTATATCTTTTTTATATATTTATTATAGCTTTAGTGCAGAACAGTTAAGGGAAAAGTTCCTCAGAAACATTTTTTTTCTTTTTTGCCATGACCAATAAAGACTCTCATTCAGTTTTCTTACTATTTTGATGGTTGGTTATTTTAATCACTTGGATATCTCAAGAGGCTTTATGTTATATGCTTTTTTAAATCATTGTTACTGTTTTGTACACATGCAGCATGCTGCAGTGTATACCGGGGGAAGATGACTGCTATTCTAGTAGCTCTGCTTGTAGTTTTTCTGTTTATTTTCAGTGATTTTGATATATAAAAGATGTGAAATTTAAATAAACAACCACTTATTTTTGATGTGTGTTCCTTTTGGCTTTGCTTTTTTTTATTTTGCCTTCATAAGGATTGTTCTATCCTGTCAAGATACACCTTCTAAAAGAGCTTAAAGCAACATGCATTTAGAAGTTCATTACTTCTTGTACATCTCAATAAGTTGGATTAAGATTTACCTTTTTATTCAGTGTTTCAATTTAAGTAAAACTAAAACTTATACAGTACTTTACTTGGACTTCATGCACAGTGATATTTGTCAGATGTGTTTATTTGATTATCATCTCCTCAGCTTCTTTACAAAAAAAATGGTATTACGGATTTGTTTTTGATTTGCTCACTCTGGGAACTGAATAATTGGTTGAGGCTTCTTTTGCAAGAATAATTGCATCAATGCAGCGTAGGATGAAGGTCTGAGGAAGCCGAGATTGCTTTAATAGCTCTCTTTAGCATGTTGACACTGGTGGGTCTTGTCTTGTATTCTCTTGACAACACTCTATAGTGTCTCTGAGGGGTTCGGGTCAGGTCAGTTTGATTCCCCAGTGATATAATCTACCCTTATTCTAGTCAAAGATGGTCCAGCCAGTCTTTTTCATGAGTATGAACACCATAAGATAGCATAATATCACATTTCAACTTTGGAAATGTTTAAAATTCAGTTTTGAGATATATATACCCTAGTAATATTTGACCTCTATTCACTGCAACTTATAACTAATTATATTAAAGACCAGAAGTGCTCTGCAGTGTGAGATACAAGTGTGTTAGTTAAAATGAAACAAACAGAAACACAACCTTGCTTATCATTCAGCCATGAGCTGATTGTAAATGTATATATCACCAGAAGTGTGGTTGTCTCTGTTGCCCTCTGGTGCATGCTGTAAGACGAGAATGTACAACCATATATTTATATAAATATATATATCACATATGAGAGACTGTCCCCACTGTGACCGTGACAGGACAAAGTGGGAGAACATGGACGAATGGATGGATATATGATAAAAAAGCTTTTCTTTTATGTTTAAAACCTGGCATGTTTCAGACTTGACTCATGTGCCTTAACATAAAAGAGCAGGACATTTCCAACTAGTTCCTAAAAATAACCTCTGCCTTAAGGAAAACAAAGTGAATTGGAGAATTTTCGCCACTCCCTGGATAGCTCAATCTCTATTTATATGTTCATTATTAACTCAGGTAGCTATCTCCACTACATGATGTTTCACTCTTTGTTCTTGTGGGAGAGAGTTCCTCTTTCCCACTTGGCTCCTCCTCCTCTGCTGGCTTACCAGTGAATGGGGCCTTTGTGGGGGCTGCTCATGCATTCCAAGGGAATTGTTGCAGGTGAAGGTACGCAAGCCATCCCAATCCTACCCTTTGGATGAATGTTGCAGCTTATGATTTACAAGTTAAACAAAGAAACTACCGGCAAAATGCTTCAAAAGCGCTAAGCTGTTTGCTGTTCCATATCTCTAAAGACTTGTAGCAACTGCAAGGGAGTGCTCAAGAGAGCTTGCAAAGTGGGAGGGAAGGATTCAGGACTTTTTCACCAGGTGAGCAACCACACACAGAGCTTTTAATCTATTCAACATGCTTATTTGAGATGCTTGAAACACATTTGGGTATATGTGCAGGTTAGAAAGATCCCCAACTTTCAATCAAATATCAATCTCACTTTTTACCCCTACGTGAAGCGGACTTCTGAAAGTCCAGAATGTATCCAAGGGTGTCTATGATATAGCAGAACTGTTATCTGAGATGATTAGGTGTACTATATGGGTGGTATGAGTAATAGGCTGACCTCAGTTAGGTAGATCTCCAGACAACACCCAGCATTACCTGCATTGGGCACACCGTAAAGGTAAGTGTGTGAATTTTGAACTTATTTACTATACCTTTATTTCCACAAATGTGTTCTCGAAGCAGCCTTTTGTTGATCATGTCAAAAACTGAAGGAAAATGAATGAAAAGATTTGTTTTGTTGAAAGAGACAATGAAGCAGAGGTTCATTTCGGTTGCGTACTCTTTTACTTTACTTTCATCAGACCGGCTAACACACTGTATCTGCTTCAGCTTCTATCCCTGCTGTTGAAACTTGTCAAGACAACACTGCCTGCAGGTATGTCTGCCTTTTCCCATGCTGACTTATTAACCGCTTTTGAGATTAAGGGACACACTCATGATATATACTGCCTTCGTAAATACACTTAATTAAAAAGAATCTTGGTCATCTTCTCGAATGTAGCCTAAATGCTGATAAAAAGTCCAGTTTATTTGCGCCTAAGTATTATTTTTCATCTGTGCTGTTACGGGCAGAGTCCATATGAGGAAGGACTTTACTTCTCTTTAATCTCTGCTTCCATGAATTGTTCCTCACCTTTCTTTATCTTGTTGCCCTTTGATATCTGCAGGAGTTCTCCATCTCCTGAGAGCTGGCTGCCTTTACTTCAGGTCCTTACGACATAGAATTGGTTACATATTCTAGACCTAAATATATGCTTTGATATCAAGTAATCACATCATATCTAGTTTTTAATAACCATTGATAACAGTGAAGCATGTAGAACTTTGGCATTGGTACTACTAGGTCTCAGCAATGAGTTTGACACAGCTGATCCTACCATGCTGTTTGGTAGACTTTATAAGTAGGATTGTCTGTTGCTATGCTTGATTGGTCCAAAAATCTTCTCTGTCAAACTCCCACAATTTTATCTGTTATGGTGTTTATAAATCTTAATGGGCAAAGGTCCCATGAGATTCCTGAAGGCTCACTTCATTAAATAAATTAAAACATTACTGTTTGCCATAGATTTTCATGACAGTGTTACCTTACCAGCTCATTTCTGTAATAGCATAGCTATTTGTTGTAAATTTGCATTCACCTTTTATTAATTTCTTCACCTTTATGTGATGCTTAATATCACCAAATGTATTTCTTTTTTTCTTGTTTTAATGTAATTTCTCTTCACCCCTTTTCTTTTATTGGTTTTTACTGTAAGTACAGTGGAATCCGGTTATAGTGGTCACATTGGTCAAAGCCAATTTGAACACTATAAGAGGTTGATTACTAAAACTAAATTTATGGTTATTTCACTTATTTTTTATGCAGAATATAATCTAAATGCCATTTGTATTGTTTTTCAATTAGAAAAATTAAACGAAACCGTTAGCTTCCGCATTTTATTACAGTACCATGCAAGTTTAATGACAGTATACTGCGCTGTGTGCAGACATAACTCTGGTAGCCTACAGTAGGCCTATGTAATTTATTCTGTGCGTCGGCCCTGTTGTGCCTCCAGTGCATTTTTTAACATGTAAGTTTGAAACAAAAAGTTTCATAGAACAATATAGAAGATAACTGCATTTGCTAAAGAAAATTAAAGCTAGCCTACCTCTGTTTTGTGTTGCGGATCTGCTGCCCAGCATTAAGAAATCACTTAACATATTTATCTGTGGTTCCCTGGATCAGAGTGTTGTCCAACACCGAGTTCACTTCTTTTTCAAAACAATGTAAAAGGTCAAAGTTTTTGAAACAAACATGCAGGAGACCAGTCTTTAATATGCAAACTGCATTCCTCATCGCAGCTCTGGAAGGGACAACAGTCTCCTCTTCTTCATCCTCATCCTCCTCCCCCTTCTCACTTTGTGATTACTATAAACAAATTATTTAAACAGCATTCTGTCCCAATCCTTTTGATCTATATAAGTGGTCAATTAATATATCCGTGACCACTATAAGCAGATTCCACTGTACTTTATTTTATCTTCTGTATAAATGATACTTAAAAAAAAACAAAAAAAAAAAACATGCTTGTATAGATTCAAATTGAAACTCTTTAGTTTCAGATCAAAACACAGGGTTCTTTTACAAAATATCAAATCTGTACAAAGGAAATCTTAACATATTTGAAATGATTGTGAGTCCATACATTTGACTGTAAAACAAACTTGTTAATTGTATTAAATTGTGTAACATTTTCCCCCCACATTTTAGCATCATGTTGCAGACAATCCAAGAGTGGCTGTGGTGGGAACGTCTATGGCTCCCAGTTGGAGTCTCCTGGGCAGATCTTGTGGACAAAGATGATCGAATTTATGCCAAAGCCTCTCAGCTTTATGCCGCGGTGCCCTGTGCTCTCTGCCTTCTCGTGGTCAGATATCTATTTGAAAGGCAAGGATTTACTGTACAGCAAAAGAGTAAATGTAACTTAGACTTCAGCTGTGCATTTATCCGATTATACCCGGATTATGTTGCACAAGTTTAAAGCAATGTTAAGAAATTCCAAAGACCTGCCGGTGTTGTGTTATAAAGGAGATTTACAGAGCTCTGTGTGCTGTTTCAGGTATTTGGCCACGCCACTCGCTAATGTTCTTGAGATCAGAGACAAGGTGCGACTCAAAGCTGAGCAAAACCCAATCCTAGAAAAGCACTTTTGCAGCAAAGCCCGGAATCCATCACAGGTATCTTTTTTTTTTTACGTACATTAATTCCAGGCATTAATGTGTTACCATAAGTTTTTACAAAAATACTTTTACATATTTTGATCAGTAAATAAAGAAAAATGTAGTACAAAATAAACAGACCATTTATTTAAAGAAAATCTAAAAGAAACAGCCATAAAAAGCTAACAGATCTTCAGAACATCAAGAATGAATAAAGATAAAAAATATTGTATCCTTTAAAATAACATTACAGGGCTTTACTTGTTTTTTTTCTTGTTTTTGTCGCATTTTACAATTTGAGATAACCCTTGTTGCACCCTAAAACTTAATGCCTCTGCCTTCTCCAAGCAGCAAATCAGCCCCATACCACTACACTACCACCACTATGTTTTACTGTAAGCATGACTCTCTCTATTTAAGAAGTTGTTAGTTTTTGGCATGCATTTTTGCATCTTTTTACGTAACTGTCAGCTATATAATATGATCTACATCTTTCTGATAGCTTCAAACATGTTAAAGGAAAAGTCTGGTCAGCAAGGAATAATCAAGGGATCATTATCTAGACCTAAAACCAATTTATTTGCTTTGATTTAATGAATTTAGCATTAATCAGTAAAAAAATAAAAATGATTTTTGTCGCGATCACTGAGTCCAGGACCAGCCATTTTTTCCCACATTTAGTAACACCTCACTTCTGACATCTTCCGGCAGTGACGTCATTGTGCTGTAGGCCTAGTGCTAATCTCTCCACTTTACAAGCAACATCAATGGGAACTATTAGACACATCTGCAATCAACAAGAATTATTTAAGATTAAGATTTTGAGAGGACTTCATCATTGAAATTCGCAACAGCTATAGTTAAACTGACAATGCCTATATGCATGGCAGCTGGATGTTGCAATACATCGGGTAAAAGTGAAAAAAATGTTTATTATTTCACCTTTCCAATTCATGATCCTCCACCGACGGATTTGTCGTTGGATTGCCAACTTGAAGAGGGAGGATTTGCCATCGAATTTCTGGCCAGAGAAAAAACACATCATATGTAGCAAACATTTTGAAGAAGAATGTTTTCAAGATGACTTGCATAATAGCATGTTGTGACAAACACCAGATACAGCATTGGGGCTTGATCTACACCCGATAATGCACCGTGACATGACAAACCGGTGGCAGTAGTGTTCTTTGACAACCATGGATGCCTCCAGTAAAGCTCAAATGAAATTACTCTTAATTAAAAAAACGTATCATGTATTGAACAGTATGTAATAATTTCATATTTAAAGTACTTTCAGAAGTTTAAATTCTGAATATTACTGGACTTTTCCTTTAAAGGTTTGACAAATGTGTTTTTCTTGTTTGATTTTAAGAAGGTCAGAAATGGTTCTATCCTTGGAACCCCCAGGGGAATGCCAATTTTTATGGGGTGCCATTTGTAAAGTAAAGCAGTAAAAAATTAGGAGCAATATTAGGAGCAATAAACCCCTTATTTAAGAGAAAAAATAAGGGGTTTATTTTTTTCCAATCATTATTTCACTATATCATTCATTCATTATTAATAAAAATCTTACTTTGTTAAATAAATATTTAATTTGGAGCTAAATGTTTATTTAAAAAAAACTAAATACTTAATTTGCAAACTAAATATTTAGCTCCAAACTAAATATTTATCTAACAAATTAATTTTTTTTGTAAATTTATGAATGACAGAGTGAAAAAATTACTTGGGGAAAAAATTAACCCCTTTTTTTTTCTCTTAAAACATGCTAGATAACCATTAATATTGCACCTAGTTCCTAACTCAGTCTTAGAATTGGTTTGGTACGTCACACCAGCATGATGTCAGTGACTTTGATTCTTATCTTTTGTTTCTTGCTATTTTCTTTTTGTTCCACTTCATGTCATCTGTGATGTTCTTTTGAAGTGGTTTCTTGATTCTGCAGGTCAAGTGGTAATCCACCCTGACTACTACTCTACAAACATTGTTTATCGCAATGAACTCAGCTTTATCTGTAGCAGCAAAGTGAATAGAAGCATGCAGAACAAAAAATAAAAAACAATGAGAAACAAAAGAATACTCAATAAATAGCACAACTGGGCTTGTTGTAATAAAATAATGTGCAAAACATTATGCTTTTAAAAACAGCATCATACCATTAACTTGGAGAAGTGAAAAATTGCACTAGTCAGGAATATTAACAGTAATTTTTATAAAGTCTTACAGCTGCTGTGAGACAGGATTTGCCATGACATGCTTTGTGCATGTGTGAAGTCTGTCAGCGAGGGAGCTCTCCAGTTCTGCAGCTCCTGGCATGGGGTGGGAGATATTGTCCAACAGTGATTTTATTTTTACTTAAGTCTGTTCTTCCACCACCTGTACTAGATCGAGGGGGCAGCCTAGGGCAAAGCTGGCCTTGCTGATAAGCTTATCCAACCGCTTCCTTTCAGCTGCAGATAAGCTGTTGCTCCAACAAACTACACATGGCTAATGCCACCACTGCCAAATAAGTCAGAGACAAAGCCTTGTGTCTTCACATACTGTGGACAGCCAGTGAGATAGTCTAGTATCCACCAGGACAGGTGGTCCACTCCTGGCTGCCCCTTCTTCAGATAGTCTGACTGGATTGGTTAAAAAAAAAAATCCTGGAGTATTTAGAGAAGAAATAATTATTTTATTTTTATATAGTGCTCGGTTTGTTTAGACAATGTACAAAAAAGTTAAGGTACATGAACCTTTATAAATGTAAAACCATGGATTGTTTGTTTTGTGTCTCAGGCTGAAATTTTGTCCCTCTGTAAGAAGACTGGTTGGCCAGAGAGGAGAGTAGAAGTGTGGTTCAGGAGGAGGAGGAACCAGGATCGAGCTGGGCTTCGGAAGAGGTTCTGTGAGGCGAGGTTGGTCTTGTGTAAAAATAAAGACCTAACATTAGTGGGAGATGACTATCTGCTAAGGAATGTGATTTTATTACCTCTGTATCTCATCAGTTGGAGATGTGGATTTTATCTTTGTGCATTTCTTGGTGGACTCTTGGCCCTTTATGATGTAAGTTCTCAAAAAAAAACTTATATTTATTTTTCAATTTTTCCAACTTGAATGTGTAGCTGTTTACTTTTTATAATCTGATAGTTGCCCTTTCACAACAAGAGTTTTATATATGCCATTTTACATAAGATAATTTCTACAGAATTGATGCAAACTGCTGTCCCCAAAACAGAAAAATAAATTCAGAAAACAAATAAGTATACAAATAGTAAATGTTTACTGAGTTAATGCAATAATCTTTTGAAACTCTAAATTATGTTTAAGATATTAGTATTCTTAATACATATATAAAAGCATAATTTATAGGGCATTTTACATTTGGAGATCAAGTGTCCTCAACACGAATTTCTAAAGTTCAGTTCATGAAAAAGGTAGTGAATTATTTTTTTAAATTTTTTTTTGTTTTTTTTTTTTTTTTTTTTTTTGAAATTTAAAAATGTACATTAATTTTAAATTTTTTTTGGAAATCCTCAAAATGTATGTAAAAAAAATCTTGTCCCATATTGTCTTTTAACTTTCAAAACATTCTAGGTTTTATTCTATAGGCTGAGACTGATTAATGCCACAGCTCAAAATTATTTTTATGAGGAAGTATTTATTTATCCCTTCCATGTCTTGGCTGCATTGTGAGTAGCTACTGCTCTTCATTTGTTCAAAAGTCTTAAAATCACTGTAACTTTAATAGACGTCACCACTGAATACTGAATTCCCGCACTTCAGCGACTTTTGTTGCCAGAAAATCACCACTCAAATTAACTATAATCCTTATGACTCTCACCTTGTTTCGTGTTGTTTTTAGAAGCCCTGGTTTTATGACCTAAGGACGGTTTGGGCAGGGTTTCCTAAACAGGTAACTATATTCTGTTCTTTTTTGCAAAGGCATAAATGTAGGCACAGTCATTTTTATAAACATGTTATGTTTTTTAAATGTTCCTCCAGTCCATGCTCCCGTCGCAGTACTGGTATTACATCTTGGAAATGGGCTTCTACCTTTCTCTGCTCCTCAGCCTGACAATTGATGTGAAAAGGAAAGTGAGTGCTCAGCTGTGGTGATTTATCAAATATATCAGTGATGCATTGTTTAGTTTAATCTAAATTAATTGTTTAATATTTTTCTTAGATCCCACATCTAAGTACCAATGTTTACAAAATCTACTCATTTTAATCTATGGTCGAATGTATGGTTTTCAATCTATGTTGGCAGGACTTTAAAGAGCAGGTGATTCACCATTTAGCCACACTGACACTTCTGAGTTTTTCCTGGATTTCTAACTACATTCGTATCGGAACCCTGGTGATGGCAGTTCATGATTCTTCTGATATACTGCTTGAGGTCAGTGCTTCCGTTATGTTTAGGTCACAGTTATTGTGTGTCTTAGTTATTGCTGAAAGAAAGCCTATTTGCTGCTAAATCGTGTGTTATTCATTGACTGAGTATGATATATTTTTGAACACAAAAACCCAGAAGCTAATAGCTTCAGATGGGTCACTAAAAATAATGAGGTAAGTCATTACTCAGGAAATTTTTATACTCACAAAGTGAGTATACAAATTAGATGTATCCTGTTTGCACTTGAATTTTGGATCCATTTTCAATAGCAGATATCTATGGGCAGAGTAATACCAGTTTAATTACATAAATGTGTTTTGTTGTACTTTTAAACATTAAACATATATTTGGAAAAAACAATATTATGGAAGATTTTGTCAGAGCTACCAAAATCCAGCCTTTTAGCCCAGGGTGCAAAGGTGAAACGTAGTAAGAGTCAATGACTAAAGTCAGTGGGTGCTGCACACAACTTTAGCTAGTAGAGCAATTATTCCGGGGATTATATATGGAATCGTTCCGGTATTAGATATTTCTTTTTGAAAATGCAAAAAGAAATAAGTTAGGAACTTCATTTAGAACAACGTAGGAAAATATGTCCCCAGATCAGCTGTTACATTACTATTCTAAATAGGTTCAAGAGCCATCAGAAACTCTTCCGTGTTCACAGATTGTCAGGTAAAAATAGTTTACAGAATGAATTCAAACAGGAATTATCATCTTCTTCACAAGTAAGTTAAGCCACACAACAAATATTGTATTCCTCCCATGTGGAAAATCGTATGCATCATATTTGAGAATAAATGATTGTTCTGCTTTTATTTGTTTTATATATTTTGTTGAATTCTCTATGGAATAGTGTTTAATAGATATACCAATCTAAAGTGCACACAGTACTAGGGAGATAACCCCTATATATATATATATATATATATATATATATATATGACTTTCTGAGCACCTAACTAGTTGATATTGCCCTTCTCTGTGTGATCTAGTATCTTTGTAAATAAACTTGTTCGTTAAAAGCCTAAGAAGGAAATAGCAAACTACTTCATAAAATCATTAAGATTAAGAAACACATCAGACAGGTCAAGGGGGAAGTTTTGATAGAAGTTTATTAGTTTAAACAAAAATACCCCAAGGTTTGATCATTGCATCTGCTCAGATCATCACTGGTACCGTAAATGTCAAGGAAATGACTAAACTGCAAATCTTTTAATACATACCTTAAAGGCCTGAACAATTAAGCATTAGTCGGGGAAGCAGCTCTGACGCCTATGGGAAACTCTGGATGTGATCCAGAGCTAAAATGAAATTTAACAAATATGGCCTTTAATACAACGGTGTGCATAAATTGCATTTCACACAGATAAGTGTAAAATATAAAATCAACTTCAAATAAAATTAAAATTGTGGTTGTAATTTGGAAAAAAACAAAACAGCTTTTGAAAGCTTTTACTAGAATAGAAATAGTAGCAGGGAAACAACAACACAGTTCACAACAAAAATTATGGTCAAATACATTGTCCCGTTTGTTGTAGTTTTAAGTTTTCTGCTCCCACGTGTATGAATATATTATTTCTCTCTTTGCTGCTTATAGGGGGGAAAGTTGTTTAACTACGCCAAATGGGAAAAGACTGCTGATGTCATGTTTGTGTTGTTTACTATTGTCTTCATGGTGACAAGACTTATTATTTTTCCTTTCTGGTGAGTAAATAAAAAAGCAAAAGATGTTATATAATGCAGTATGACGTGGAGATGAGTGAAATTAACAAAAATCCACATCTCTAGGCTCATCCACTGTACGTGGGTGTACCCACTGGAGTTGTTTGATGCCTTCTTTGGCTACTATTTCTTCAACATCATGTTGCTGGTTCTGCAGATTCTTCACATCTACTGGGCTTTTCTAATATCTAGAATGGCTTACAAGTTTGTTTTCAATAAGGTAAATTCAGAGGAGATTTGTTTGCATGTGCCATGCTCTTATACATGTGCTTCTTTTAACAAACTCTTCGCTGTGTCATGTTTTTTTCCAGCAACTAGACGGCGATGTCCGAAGCGATGAAGAGGAGGATGACAGTGACTCACCCAAGGATATAAAACACAAACTGAGTCACATGAATGGTGCCATGAACGGTGCCAGAGGTCGAGCTAACGGTCACTGAGTCAGACAGAGAAGAAGAATAGTATCAACAACGGATAAATGGACGTTTTATTGCTCCAACCTTTGATCTAGCAGAGGAATATTAATTTTGATGGAACTGTGAAGGAACCTACATAGTGTGATTTTATTTTAGCCTAATTGAAATATATAAAAAATATAGGAGCTCTTTAATATGCTTTCTTTTATTTTTATATGAGGATAAAAACTGGCATAATTAAAAAAAAAAAGAAGGTCATTTTGATTCTTAAAATCACAAGTTTATACTGTAAACTTTATACTGCATCGGTTGATCAGGCTATATGTATTTATTACATGTTATGATTTTGTTTTTGTTTTTAGGACACTGTAAATCAGTATTTATAGTTTCAATGTTAACAATGTGGGAGGCTGGCAATGAAATAATGGACGCCCACTGTAGTGCTAGCACGCCCTCTAGTGACAGCTGATATGAACCGGCCGGAGCCGTGATCTGTGGAACCGTCGCTATAGAAACCGTTACACAAACCGTGTAGCGTTTGAAGTCTGACAGTTTACTGGATATTTTCTTTGTTTTGATTGTTCAACTTTTTTGTTGTTGTTGTTAAAATGTCTTATAAGAGAATGAATCGGCCTCGGGCGAAAACAGGAAACTGGAATGAAGACATGATCATAGAGGAGGTTTGTTGAAAATAAATAGAGGGCGTGTTATCTGAGCTAGCCATCACGTTAACATATATATTAATTTTAAGGATGCAGAGGCACGTACATCATCTAGAACAGGGGTCACCAGCGCGGTGCCTAGGGGCCAAGGGGCCCTCAAGGACATCTGCTTTCGGCCTCTTCTGAAAACTGAACAACTAGTGGGCTGTTTAAATTTTGCAATTTTAATTCTGCTGGTCTTTGTTAATAATTTATATAGTTCATCAATATATTCAACTTAAAGTGTATTTAAACATTTATAGAGATTTCAAAATTTCAATATCTAAGCAAAAATTAGAGATGAAAAGGAACAACAAAAATAGTCCTGTAGTTATAATGCATGAAGTTAAGATGAAGTTTGATTCCTCCATTTCATAGGTCAGTATTAGTTGTACTTCAGTACCAATGAAGTAGCTTCTAAGCCTTAAAAAGGTTGGTGACCCTTGGTCTAGAATTGAAGGTGAACTACGAATGTTTTATTTTGTACGGGTGAAAAAAAAAGCTTTTTAATAGTTTGGTATCAATGTTTTAGCCACATTTCTTAGAGCCTACAGTAAGGTGGGCACATTAGATTAATCTAATCAACAGCAATAAAAAAAGAATCAGCGGAATGATAACTAAAATTAGAAAGCTATGCACAATCGAACTTTATCCGAAATGTTATTTTTTACTTAGTCCTATTTGAAATGACATTTTTTTTTTTAATGTTGTAACAATAAAAATAAATCTAACACTGTATCGAACATTTATTTTCGGACATCTTTACTTTGATATCCCTTAATAAATTGCAGAGCAAGAAACGTCTTGTAAATGTAATCTACCCGAGTTGTCGTACAGTACAAACAAGGACTCCATGCAAATCAGTAGCCTCATTTAATGTTTGTTTTTCTTTCTTTTTTTTTTTTTTATTTGCTTCATGTTTTCTTAACTGATAAACAGCAGAGGAATACGTTTCTATGAATAACTAGTTTTGCCCTACTCTAGTCATCAGCTTAAGTCTGGCTTATTATGGAGTTATTTTTGCACTATTTTAAGCCACATTTTATGGAGGACCAAAAGTGTCAGTGAAAAGGAAAAACACCCATTTTAAATGTAACATTTTACAATTAAAAGGCTAGACGTAAGGACACTCATTTAAAATGGTGTAACCACTATATAGTGCCCTGTATGGTGATTAGGGTGGACATTCGGGCACAGCCAGAGTCACCATAGGAATGCTCAAAGTTTAAGTGCTTAGGGGAAGTGTTTAGGCACTGATTTGGGATTGGGCCTCCATTTACCTTTTCCATGACCCTTCTGGTCTCTGGAAACCAGCTAAACCAATCACAGTTGCTCCTCAGATGTTCTCTCATTGGTCATTTTTTTAAATAGGTTTGGCAGGCTAACCAATAATAGAGCTGGTTACTTTACAGCTTCTGACCCACAAAGTGGTACCAGTGTTGACTGGTAGGCCTATATCTTTTAGAACTTAAAAAAAAAATTGTATTGTTTAGTTTAATTTCTGTAGTAGATCTCAAGACCCCGCATTTCTTAATCAAAAACTCAAGCCCAACTTTCGAGTGAGCTTTTGTCCTGTTTTCAATAAAAATCATGTTATAAAATTATCTGAGGCATTTTTACATTGGTACATAAGGTGATGACGTCATTATAAGTTTATGTTCTCAGTTATAAGATTATATAGCTTATGAAACCAGTGCGGATAATTCCCTTTAGAACTGAATCAATTAGTAATAGATTGCACTTTTATTTACTTACTTTTTAGGATAAATGTTGCAACCCAACTTTTTTCCAAAAAAGAATTCAAAATATCTTCCGTGGTATTGATCCCATTATTCCTACCTAACATATTCTGAGATTGTAAAGATGATTGTAAACTTAATTACCTTGTAATAACAAGTAACATGAAGCTGTACTGAAAAACTGCATATTTTATTGTTTTCCAAGGAGGCAATGAGGGAATATTTTGAAAAGAAGGAGAAGGGAGAACTTCTTGTCCAGAGAGTGGACTTCCTGAAAGAAAACATTTTGCGGCCGGTAATATTGATCTAAGCTCATTTCAAAGCTCTACTGGTGACCCATGGGAAGCTGCGCTGACAGTCTGTCCACACGTGCAGGTGGATCTCTCTGTGTCAAACGATGGACAGTTGCATTTTGGGGACACCGTGATGTTGGTGAATATAGGAGGAGAAAACAGGCAGTTCAGCTCTCTCAGCATCAATGCCGACATTAACAGTGTTACCAAGACACCATCACCAGGCATCAAGGCACCCTGTGGAGTCAGCGCAGGAGGAGGAATTGAGCCCTGCGTTCGCACTGCTTTAATCATCACCAGGTAAGCACCCAGAAAGGAATTCAACAGAAACTTTAGAACCCGCACTGTTTGGCAGTATTTCATTTTGTCTGTGTGGTACAGTGTCGACGGCAGCCCTGAAGGATCCACTCTGTGTTTTGACCAGTTTTTTGCTCTGAGAACAACAGGGGGCTTTGCTAGAGGAGTAAGTGAAACCTTTACTGGAGCGTAATTCCCTTTCAGTGTTGATCTATTACTTCTGTTTTTGTATTCAAACCAATGCACTAATGTTACTTTGATTATATCATTTTTATTTTTCATGGCTAAGGAATGTCAGGAAGTCCTAAAATAAATTTTGTTTATATACAGTAGCTCAAAGGTCTTCTCATGGCACTTCCCATACAATTTATATATAGAAAAACATAGTCAGTACAGGCCATTTGTATAAATAGATTCAAAGTCAGTTAGCTAGCTAAGGTATAAACACAGCTACAGTTTGGTTTTTGGTTTTTTGTCATCCCGGCTGAATGTATGAGTTACAGACCTCCCTATTAACAAGTGTCATGTGCATCTGCATACTGAATGGAATAGGTCTCCGTATATGGGTTGTGTGCCCTACCACTGCACCATCACCTTACCCCGCATGTACCCACTCTTTAGACTCATTATGTAACCTAGGGACTAAAAAGAGCAGCTCACATCTATTGTCTTTCTTACCGTTTATCAATCCAAAGAGTATAAATAAACAGCATCTGTATATTATACCCAGTGGCGGCCGGCCCATAGGGAGCGCTGGGGCACCGCCCTCCCTGATAAGAAGAGAGAAACGTAAAATATATTTTTAGAAATTAACTCATAAAT